CCTATAAAAAGTCCAATTAACTGCACAATGTCCTATAATCGTATATAATAATAATAATAATAAACTCACTTCAAATCTTGATCGAACAACTGGATTTATAGAATCAATATCGTTAGAAGTTCCAATCTAATAATGGATCATAGCTTTAAATGAAGAAAAGATATATATTATGATATGGAAACTAGGAAAGGACTTACAACCAAAATTGCCACTTCTTCTTTTAAACAATTATTTAATAATTCACGAAAATTATAGGAAAGTAAAGAATTATCACTATTTATCGGGAAAAACAATTCGATATTTTCCAATAATACTTAGGAAAATGACGTTTTTCGGTTATTAATTTAAAAGAAATAAACTGATAAGAAATTAAGTAATATTCGAATTTTGAAATTTATTTTATTTATCGTACTTACGCACACTTGGTTGATTATTATAAGCGAGAACCAAATAATGACGTAGTCCCTTTTCTGGTTCTGCAGGGAATTCAGCAGCCAAATCTCCGATAGTCAGACTAAATATCTACATTAAATTTATATTTATTTATTCAAGGTTTAAATAAGATAAGGTTCTAAACTACAAAAGTACCTTAGTTCGATATTTAGAACATAGCTCATGAATGATATATGTTTTTCCTTATTCCAATGTAAATGAACGTAATCAATTAAAGTTATCACGTTAAAAAATGACCAAAGACTTGATGCATTAATTATAAGAAAGAAAACCTGTTCCTGAAGGCCCAAATAATAGTATTGATTTGGGAGCATTTACATTTACAAGTGGATAAACATTCCGATATTTAAATAAACGTTCAATTCTTTCAATATTGTAAAACATGATCTACTTTCGAATCATAAAAAATGATAACCTGGATCTTTTTGATATTTGACCAATGATTGTCACGTGGCGGTAAAACGCACACAAATAAAGATCTAGTAGCGGTAGCGGTAGACATTTTATAAACTGTATAAACCTATGACGTGGCTAGTTTATATTTTTATCAAGTTTTATTATGAGTATAGTCGGCATCCATAATTCGTACTATATGTCCTTTTAATCGTCTCTATGATACTTTATATAAGGTTTATTGACGTTCTAATTTGCTATGTACTGTACAGTAGAAGTGGATGCCATCTAAATAGCGCAAAAAATAACTTAATAATAAAGTAATAATACGCATAAAAATTTTATTATTATTAATTATAAAAATTTGTTTAGGATTCCAAATCAATTTAAGCCAATTCGGTATCCACTTAAGTGGATTCGAGTCTATAGAATTCCGAATCCACCTACAATATATGGGGTGAGTCAATAGAAACGCACCAAATCTTTTTTAGTGAAATATTTTTGCAATTTTAAACAAAGATAACTTGACAAGAAATTATTCAAATTTAATAAAAATTTTTTTAAATAAATTCTATAAGATTTTAG